TTTATGTTGATGGGCCTCACTTAATGGGCCTGTTATTTGTTCTTATTTTATTTTCTTTATGTAACTGCCAAGCTGGCCATTCACTTAAGGGTATACTTGTCATCATCAATTTTTTAGAGATTAATAAAATAGGGTTAGAGGAGAAGGGTGATTAATTCGACTTCTTCTTCTCTTAYCWCTTTTCTTCGCCATCTTCCTCTCTTATACAGTTATTCAGATCTGTTCTATTCTGCTAATCACTAAGTTTAATCTTGATATTAGAGAACTGATTTACATCTTGCACAAAATAAATAGATATTACAAATTGTGAAGATGATTTCCTCTTTTGATCATAACACTACAAAGCTATTCTTTGAGCTTTAATGTTTGAAAAAATTAAAAACATGTGAAGGTAAGAGTTCAAGGAGAATCGAAGAACAAAAGATAGGAAAGCATAGAGAGATCCAAAAATTAATATGAAAAGAAATTTTAGATTTGTATATTTCCAAGATTTCTAACTAAAGAAGTTTCTTGTCAATTTGTATATTTCCAAGATTTCCAACTAAAGAAGCTTCTTGTCAAGCCCAAGTAGCAATCCAAACTTGCATAGATTTCAATGAAAATCATTAACTTGGTAACAATTAAGTGAAGTTCCTTAACTGTTTGATGCAAATATGGTTCTATGCTATTGCCACATTAACCACTAGCTTTCTAAATGAAATTGATTTACTTAAAGGACATACCAGAAGTGTCTCTTGTCCAGAAAAAGTAACATTACAAACTTCTCTATCTTGTCCAGCCTCCAACAAAATATCAGCATGAGTACTTTCAGTAATTAAAGAATTAGAAATTCTATGTTCTGTGGGACAACTAATGCTTTCTGCCCGAGGAGTTGAAGGTGCAGTAATTGATTTCGTCCCACTTGATTTATCACCATCTGTGCTTGTCAATGTGGCGAAGCCATTATCTCGTTTCTGCTAATAGAATATTAATATTATATAAGCATCAAGTAAAGAATATTTCTGTAGCACCTGGAAAATGCCACATGCATAAATTGAAAATATTTATTTTTGTGACACTTCTAGGTTTCAGCATATCTCTTTAAATAAAAAAATTTATTCCATACCCGCAACTTGAACCAATTTAGCAGTCCATGCTTTCGGTTCTTTTTTCCCTCCTTAAAAGAATCATCCGTGGCTTCACCATTGGCTTCTGTAGAAACATACAAGTCGATGTTTTCATCATCCACGATCAAGTCTCTCCTTTTGTGGGGAAGATATGCAAGCTGTACAATTAGGTAATGCAATCAAATTAACTAGAACTAGAATAAGACCTAAACAAAATTTTACACGAGTTCTTTTCTTTCAATGTCATTCGGAAGAACCTAGGAGTAGCTCCAATAGGCAATAAAATGAGAGAAAGTATACAGACTAAAATGGTTTAGTCAAGTTCATAGAAGACCACCAACAGTAAATGAAAGAAAATTTGATCTGTTGCATGTTGAAGGGGCTAGAAGGGCTAGGGGTAGACCAAAAAGGACATGGGTCAAAGTAGTTAGAAATAATTTAAGTGCTCATAATTTAACAATGGATATGACATTTAACAGAATGGAATGGCTAAATAGGATTCATGCTTCCGACTCCATATAGTTGGGATAAGGTTTGGATGATGATGATGATGAATTCTTTTTCTTTCAGTCATTTAAAAGTGAAGTTATCTTCAAACTCAAGTGAACAGGCAAGGAGTGGGACAATATCTGTAACTATCCATCCAATAGAATGCCATATTATACACCATTTCTTACAGATTTATATCCAAATGAAAAGAATTATTAATTTGCATGAACTTCAGCCACTAAACCTCTTCTTCTCCAAAAGAATGTCTTCTCCTGGGACCAGGGCGTTGAGGGAACCTTGAAGATTGTGTAGCCTTTGTGGAAACTAAAATTAATTTTGTCAAACGCTGTATCCTACTTAAGAGAGCAGCTTTAGCTTCTTCTTCTTGCTCCAATCTTGATTGCAGCTTGACTTGATCATCTTCTAACTTTTACATCATGTCACAGAAAAGGAATTTGGTCAAATTATGCACATCATTATGGCAAATGGATTATAAAGAAATGTTACATAAAAAACTTAAATATATCTTGCATGAGTTTAGTGAAGAAATAATGCATATAGGTAAACTCTCAAAGAAGCTTTTCTTCTGTTCTTTTCTTTTAGTTGATAAGCTCTAGTAAAAGCATTGGCCAAGATAGATTTATTGATGAAGCACTTTTACTTATCATCCAGATATGAAGCCAACTTTTTAATTTTTTTCCATTAACTATATAAGATTAAAGGGCAACCTGGGTGACCAGGGATAAAATCTTGGAAACAGCACCTCTGCATGTGCAAGGTTAAGGCTGCATAAATCTGTCCCTCCCCAGACCCCACATTGGCAGGAGCCTCATGCACTGGGCTGCCCTTTAACTATATAAGATTAGATTAATCCTAAAACTTGAACAGTAACAATAGTGATGTCATGTAACAATTGCAGATGACCATTATGGTCCTTTTCACCAAATATGTATTTTTCTTTTTCTTTTTTTTTTTTTTTTGGCAAAGAGGCCATTCATCACTGTTAATCTCCTACTTTTATTCCTTGAAGTTTAGGAATATTTCTTTGCATTATCTAGAGTAAGATGGATATTTGAGCACTTCTAGTTCTCCTACAATACAACAAAGTATACAATTATGTACAGATACTTGAGGTATTTTATCACACTAGGAAGAAAAGGATGTTCAAGCCTTCACCGAAAAAAAAAATAAAGCACTGGAGATCTTAATAGTTTATCGCAATCACAGAGACCAATTAGCTGCCTACTAGAGAGAAGTTTACAGAGTTCACATTGATGATGTAGTGGAGGGTAGTATTGTGAGAGCATTTGCATGACTAAACCAAAAAAAGGGACAATCAAACAACTATACGAAATTATTTCCTTCTACCAAAATAAATTACTAACCTGGTAATGTGATGCATCTAACCAAATTGAATTTGCAAATCTGTCATAACCTAGTTAAGACCCACAATCAATGAGCATAGACTTTCTTTTTGATAAATAACAGAAATGTTCGCCCAGAAAATCCTGATTACTAAAAAGTCAGTTGTGGCTAAATAGCCAAAGTCCCCATACCAGACCTTCCCTTACAGCCCCTGTTCTTGCTAAAATATCAGCCAATACATTGCCATAGGCACCCATTTGAATGAGTTATTCAAAATTCTTCTAGAGATGGTGCCTGTCTCACCAAGAGTCTATAACTCCATTGGATTTCCTCATTGGTCCTCATCCAAGAGATAACTGTTTTGCAGTCACCCTCCACCACTACATCAGTCCACCCATTCATAGTAATTACACCAAGGGCCTCATGGATGCCCAAGACATGTATAAGACTATACAGAGTTCTGTTAGCAAGATATTAACACAAAAGCAGTATATCCCTGTCAAAAAAATCTGCTGTATTCTAGGGTTCTAAAATCCTTATCTACTAATAGCCATGAACATATCTTCCCTTTGATTCTCCCCACACCACCTGCTCATCAGCATAGAGGTTCTGAAACATCTGATCATTTATCTCCCCCCAAACAAGACAATTCTCCTCCTTTTGCTTAACCCCCCAAACTGTCAGCTTTGCAGAAATTAAAAATAAATGGAAACTGGGACCTCTAGGGAGTTTGGTTGCCTAACCAGGCCTGAAAATCTGAGAAAAATATTACTATTGTGGTTTCTTATTAGTCCTAAGCCTGAAACCCCTGGGTTGCCAAGACTACACCCACCTAAATTAAATTTCAAGCTTCCCATATCAGGTGTTCTCCTTTGCTCATTCCTGACTTGGTGCCCCACTACAATTTGCCATCCTCTAAATTGTTCATCCATGGTAACTCCTTTAAAGTCATCATACCAGTGCCCAATGTGCTATCCTTACCATTATGAGATTTATCAGCAAGAAAACCACAAGTTTTTTAATCTTTAACAATTCTTGCAATCCTTAATCCTTATATATTATAAAGAGACACATGTATAGATAATAATCATGAAATTTGAAACTCCACAAAAAGCCTTCTTGGAAAGATGTAATGCTTGTGACTTACTCCAAAAAAAAAGGCCTTTTTGGTGCATTCTTTGCAAGGCAAATGATGAAATCTCCTACCACTTATTATTTCTTGCCCTTTTGCTTCTGATATATGGGACTGGTTTCTTTCTTTATTTGGTTGCAGGTGGATCCCTCCGCCAGATGGCCAAAGAAAAGGAGCAGGATTATGTGGAGGTGTGTGAGGGATGACATATGCTGGACTTTATGGGAAGAAAGGAATTCAAGGACATTTTCTGAAAAGGAAAGAAATAAAGAAGGTATTATTGAAGATATAACAGTTAGGGTGGCGCATTGGTTAAAATCTTTTCACCTGTTTGCTGATGCCTCTATGCGTATGCTGCTGAATAGTTGGATAGAGGTGGCAAACTCTGCTCCTACTCATTCATTTGTCTGACCTGTGTGGTCACCACCAGCCCTTGGGATTATAAAGTTAATTCCAGGTCCCTCAGGTGCAAGAGGTGTTTTAAGAGATGAGAATGGGAAGGTAATTGCATTGTTTTCAGGTCCCATTGGGGTTGGGGACTCTCTCAGAGCTGAGGTTTATGATGTATTGGAAGGCCTAAGGAAGATAAAGGAGCTGAATATACAAAAGCTAGTTGTTAAAGGGGACTCAAAGTTGTTCTTAAGCTGGTTACAGAAAGACAGTGGACTCTAGAAATTTGCCAATGAGAGGAGGGAGATTAAGTGGCTAACTAGGGGGTTGGAAATCCAGTTTCACTAGGTGAAGACAATTGCAAATGCCTTTGCAGATACCTTGGCAAAGCAGGGGGTGGGAAGGGATCAAATGTTTTGGGCTATATTGTAATTCATTTTCTTGTTCTCTTGGGGAGAGTTAAGACATTTTATCTCTCTCAGGAGTGCTGTAATTATCTTCTTCATTAATAAAATGAGTTTTTGTTATTGATAAAAAAATCAATAGAAATTGTCTAATAACAATAGAGAACTTTGTAATGTAAATTCAATTTTTTGGATGTGCACAATTCACAATGAGATCAAACCTTTAAGAAGTAATAGCAGAAATAAGAAAATCCCCCTCACAATTGGTGTACCTGCTGTCTAAGAAGCACAATATCATCATCCTTGACATCTTTCAATGGTGGTACAGTAATGATACCCCTTTTTAGTTGCTCCAACTCTTCCTTTAAACAACGAATCTCGTTTTGGTATTTCTTGATGAGTGATTTCTCATCAATTATCTGTAGTTGATAGGATTACCTCTGTCAGCTGTCAAGTACATGTATCCAATAAATGAGAAAAAGATTGAAACTCACCTTGTTTTGTGATGCTTGAATTTCAATGTGTTTTGCACGATGGGCAAACTTCAATGTGTTATGTGTTTCTTCTGAATTACTTGATGAAGGAGTAACAGTGCAAATAAGCTGCAGTTCAACCATAATCAGACAAAATAATAACATTGCTGACATATTTATCAAAAAATTAAATATACTACTGACACATTAATATAACCAGTTGGTTTTATTAAAATACATTTAAAGCTGCCTATTAAAAACTACAGTTGATGTTCTGGAGAAACCAATCTATCAAAAAGAAACTTGGATGGAATTAATCTGTTTAGCCATGATCCAACTTATATTACAGCTCATTTTCAACAGTTACATCAGGAGGGACTTACAGATACACGCCCATGACCACTTAAAGATGACTGAAGGAGCCTTGTAAGTTTAGAATCCCTATAAGGTATATGAGTGGCCTTTCCATCTGTTAATTTTGATATCACCTGCAATTCTATAAATCAAATATTAACAAGTTCCTGAAAAGGCTATCTAGGACTACAGAGACCAAAATAGTAAGTATGGATAAATACCATCTCATAAAACATAACTTCAGATAGGGATAACAATTGATAGCACATAAAAAGGTCAAAATAGCTCAACATATGATCCTTATTATGAGTTACAAAATGTAGGAACAAATAGAAATCTGCAATTAGGATTTACCAGGGAAGTGACAAATACTCCCGTGTTTGTCACAAATTATGCTACAACAACCATAATAATGGCACTTACATAGGAACTCACCAAAATGATTCCCATAGGACTCTTTGACTAACACAACTAACAAGGCATTGACTATTTAATGCAGTCACAACTTACAAGACACAGGACTACTAAATGCATTCTCAACTACTAAATAAACATAAATATGATATTAATGACAACTTTGACTCCAGCAATCTTCTAATGGCCACTGTTTGTTGAAATTGTGAAGTAGAAGAACAAGAAGAGAAGAGGAGAGGAGAGAAGAGAGTAGTGTATGGGCGGCAATGACTTCTCAGCCGGCCCTAGAAACTAATATATATTGACACTAAGATATTACAATAAAAGGAGTAGAATGTCCCTGATTAGCGATGGGACACCTAGACAGTACAAAAAATAAAACCAGTTTAGGCCCAATAACTAAAGGCCCATAACAAAATATAAAACTAAAACATAGAATGTTAAATAAGCCCACCAACATTTAATCACTCGACCCAACACTCCCCTCAAGCTAAGCATAGATGTCAGTCGTGTTTAGCCTGCCAAGTAAGCCAAGGAACTTCACTGAAGACAGGCCTTTTGTCAAAACATCAGCAATATGCATCTCTAAGGGTGTGTAAAGAATGAAAAGTTCACCTAAGACAATTCTCTCTCTCACAAAGTGTCGGTCAATCTCAATATGCTTAGTCCTATCATGTTGTACTGGGTTATTTGCAATGTTGATTGCAGTCTTGTTGTCACAGCATAGCTTGAGGGGACATCAACTCTCAATCCTAACTCACCTAGGAGAGTCCTAAGCCACAATAGTTCTGAAACACCATGTGATCTCGCAACCATATTTTGCTTTTTACTTCTCCAAGTAACCAAGTTCCCCCAATAAATGTGCAATATCCGGAAGTAGACTTCCTATCCCCAATCGATCCAACACAATTAGCATCAGTATATGCATCTATCTCAAGTTTATTGTGCCTCTTGAATAGGAATCCTTTCCCTGAACACATCTTCAAATACCTAAGGATCCTTTCAACTGCTTTCATGTGAGGAATCTTGGGAGAATGCATGAACTAATTGACAACATGTACTGCATAAGCTATATCAGGTCAGGTAAGAGATAGGTATATCAATTTTCCCACCAGCTTTTGGTACCTTTCTTCTTTTTTTGATCAATACTTTTGGTACCTTTCATTATCGGAGTAGTCCTCACCAACCAACTCCTAGAGACAATGGTTTTGCTCTATTGGTGCATTTGTCGGTCTACTTCCCATCATACCTATTTCCTTTAGAATATCAAGAACATACTTCCTTGTGACCTTGCAACTTCAATCCCAAGGAAGTAACTTAGATGGCCTCGATCTTTAATCTCAAATTTAGATAAGAACTCCTTAAATCTTTTTTATCTCTTCCAAATTATTCCCCATAATTACCATATCATCCACGTAGACAATGAGAGTAGTAAGCATATTACCATGTTTCCTTATGAACAAGGTATGATCTGCACCACTCTAAGTGTATCCCACTTTCTTCATGACCCCACAAAGCTTCTTAAAGCTTCTTAAACCAAACTCGAGGAGATTGCTTAAGCCCATATAATGCTTTCCTTAGCCTGCATACCTTCCTATGAAAGTCATAGCCAAGTGGAGGATTCATAAATACCTCCTCATATAGATYCCCATTTAGGAAGGCATTCTTCACATCCAACTGATGTAGCTCCTAAGAAAAAATTTGCAACTAATAACAATAGAACCCGAATTGTATTAAGCTTTAAAACTAGAGCAATAGTCTCCTTGTAGTCAATCCCCTCCTGAGTAAACCCTTTTGCCACCAGCCTGGACTTGTATCTTCCAATGGAGCCATCCTCCTTATGCTTCACAGTGAACACCCACTTACACCCTACAATGATCCTCCCTTCTAGTAGATCCACTAATTTCCCAGTCTTGGCTTTCATTAAGGCTTCCATTTCCTCATTCATTGCCTCTCTCCATCTTGGCTTAGACACAACCTCTTGACTACCTGGAAAGAACATGGACAAAAGAAAGACCACACACTAAGGAGTAGTAACGAGGAGATAAACAAAAATAAAAGACATATTTAGCAAAGGGATATCAAGTAATACAAGAACGGACTGGCTTACGAAGAGCAATGGGAACATCCAAGTTAGAAGTAGGAGTGATAGCATCAATGATTGGGTTACCTGCATCCACTGATATAGATTGATCTGGGTCCAGATGATTGTTGCCACAAGTTGGAGGATCTCACTTCCTTTTCTTGTAGACAATTCTCATATCTCTCTGTTGTCTATTAACAACATCAGTCCCTTCCTCAACATCTGGAGTAGTAACAAGTTTAGTAGGAGTCTCACTAGATTCACCTGGACAGGTAGAACTAGGAGGATCAGGAGGAGAAGATGGAAGACCCAAAGCTGAAAATGGCACAAAAAAGGAAGGAGATGAAGGATCCTCTTCCATCCTACTAGTCTCCCCCTCAAGAGGATTCTTGGAGGACAAAAAATAAGGCTGAAACTCGAAAAACACATTCTTGGTGACATACTTTCTCATGGTAACTAGATCATAGTACTTATAACCTTTTTGTGTGGGAGAGTACCCTAGGAAAACACCCCGTATGGCCCTAGGGTTCAACTTTGTCTTCTTAGGATCCTTGACATGGATGAAGGCACTCAACCAAAGACTCTAGAGGAAGAGGAATCTTGAAGGTTAGGACAAATGACAAAAAATTCCCATACCCAACACCCTAGATGGCATTCGATTTATTAGATATGATGCAATAAGGACTGCTTGAGACCAATAGTTCTTGGGAACCTTGTGCTAAAACAGTAGTGCTCAAGCTATCTCCAATAAGARTCTATTCTTGCGCTCAACAACCCCGTTCTGTTAAGGGGTACTAGTACAAGATGATTAATGCAAGATACCCACATCCTCCATGAACAAATTTAAGGAGCTTTCAAAATACTTAGTAGCATTGTCTGAGCGAAACTGCTTAATCTTCTTGCCAAACTTAATCTTCTTGTCAAACAATTATCAAAAAAAATATTCTTGCCAAACTGAGTTTCAATCATTTTATAAAATATCATGGTTATCTGTGGAACTTCATCATTCCCTTGTAACAAGTAGATCCATGTGCATCATAAATAGTGATCAATAAAGCTGATAAAATAACAAAAGCCATCTATAGAAACAAGGGGTGAAGGGCCCTACACAATAGAATGGACTAAATCAAAAGGAGCTTGAATTTCACTACTGGAAATTGGATAAAGAGTTCTACACTGTTTTGACAACTGATACATTTCACAAACCAAACTCCGACTCGAAACACAATTAAACAACTCAAGAAACAAGACTTGCATCAAAGAAAAAGACAAATGACCTAGCCTAGCATGCCATAAATGTAACCTAGCTACTGACTCCTCATTATCCCGACCACTAAAAGTAGATGACTGTAAGGCTAAACTAATGTTTGCATCAAAATAATAAAGACCTCTAGACTCATGACTGCTCCCAATCGTTCTCTTCGTCAATCTATCCTGTAAAACACAATGAGTAGGAAAGAATGTTATGCAACAATTTAAGACAAGGAATACAGCTTGCCAACCAACTCGGAGTGGAGAATTTATTAATTGAGGGAGACTCTAAGGTGGATGTGGGTTGGTTGGTGAATTTAGATATTGTTAATTGGGATTATAGGGATCTCCTAAGAAGAGTTAATTAGCATACAAGAAACATGTCAGTTAGTTTTCAATGGGTTAGCAGGTCAGAAAATGTTTTGGCTTTATTCTCTTGCTAAACAAGGGGTTTCAAGAGTTTCTTTGTATTGGGCTACTTTGTAAACTGATTTCTGTTTAGCATGAGCTTTTTGCTTTCATCCTTAAAGAGGAGGTCACATCTCGTGCCTCTTCTTAGGTTGTTTGTATGCTCACTTTTTCTCTATTAGTAACAATTTCATTCATTTAGCAAAAAAAAAAAAAATTAAGCGTTTTGTAAGCTTAGAAACAGATAATAGGTTTAAAGCAAGATTGGGAACAATGCAAACAAATTTAAGGGAGAGATCCTTGCCTAGGTTAACCTCCTCCTTTCCAAAGATGGTGGAGAAGGAACCATAAGCTACTCTCATGTTATCTTGGTCAGACATCAAACGTTAAGAAGACAATAAAGAAGACATGTGTGTCATATGGTCAGTAGCACCGAAATCAATAATCCAAGAGTTAGATACTGTAGGACCAGTCACACTATGAGAAGAAACGGTACCTGATTTGGCAAGAGAGGTGGATGCAAGTGGATTGTTCCTCAACCAGCCATGGCTCGGCTAAGGATTTCTACCCCATCAGCTATGAAATTCAAAAAAGACCCTAATGTGTGGAAACTGGTGGTCTGTCCCGTTGGAGGAGGAGCAACTATGTATGTGTTCTTTTGGCTTTCAACACTGTTACTTATGACAACATTTCCACTTGTTGTTTGGCTCTTCTAAGGCTTCTTGTCCTTTCTTAATGCAGCTGGTTTCAAATGAAGGTAAAGAATCTAGCAAGTCTCTTTTAGATGTTTGTCTCCTCCACAATGAGAGCACTTGAGGTGCCTCCTGTCTGAACCCTTGCCCCCTTTTTGGCTTGAAGAAATCAAGGTTGAATGCTCAATGGACTGCACTTGGGTGTCTACTTGCATCTCTTTCCTTCTAACTTCTTCGTTTCTTACAAGATAGTAATCATATTGTAAATTTGGAAACTCATCCCTTC